GCCAGTCCCCAGCGGCTGCTGAGATGATACAGCTCACTTCCAACATCACCGGCATGGTCCCCACGAACTGAGACCTTGCAAAAATATACTTGGCTGGAAGCCATGAAAATCATCAAATATCATCCAATCTGGGCGAGTTTCCTGACACTTCCCATGAAAATCATGAAAACCAATTCTGGGATGACTAGTGAGACCGATCTTGCTGACTTTCAGCAGAAAATGTGCAGGAATGCCATGGTTTTAGCACTCAAAAATCAGGGGTTCCTCCAAAGTTTACCTGAAACAACTGGGAGACATGGTCATTCTTGCTAGAACCTGAAACCATCCAAGTTTCACTATCGCTGGCTGAGGATGAAAGTGAAGCATAACGGTTGCCCAAACAACGACTGAGCGCTCCTTTGGACTCATCATTTGCTAAGATCCCCAGCGCTGCATTCTGATTCTAATCCCATGGTCCTAAAGCATTTGAAAATAAAATCAGTCAACACCCACAGGGGGAGATGAAAAACCCACGGTTTTGTCAAAGTCAGGTGTCTGTTTGACTTACCTTCTGGCAAACCTGGTGTGACAAGGGGCAGGATCATCTTCCAAATCGGCGTCTCTATCACCTTGGCTGGAGAAATGCCACTGAAATCGCTGCAAATTCCCATGGTTTTCCCATGGTCCTTTTGCGGGCCCCATGGGTTTTACGTCAGGTCATGTCAGGTCACCGGAATCTCATTGGGGCCATATTCCTCCATGCGTTTCTTGGCTTCCTCCGAGGTGAGACCATCACGCTCACCTGCGCGGGGATGAAAAAATGGAAGATTGAGACATATTGAGACATATTGAGACATATTGAGCCTATCATATCAGACATATCACATTGGTAACCCTTATGTCATGTGTGTGCAGAATATCCGATTCCTCAATCCTCATGTCCAACTCTCTGGGACAGGCCCAACGGCCCAACACATCGCCTCCCACTTTTCCCAAGGCATCGTTCTGCACAAGCTTAGCCTCAGCAAAGCCGACCAGTTGCCCCCCAGCCTCAGGCTCCTGCATTTTGGCAATGACTACAAACACTGGCGACCAATGTTCGAGAAAGAACAAGGATCATCATGAATCATGATCATCAAGTAGAATTAAGTGTAAGTGACTCTAAGTGGATATGTTCAAAAGAATAAGCTTTGGGCCATTCCAGGTTGATTTTGCAGGATGATGATCATGATTCATGATGGTCAAATAGGATCTCCTAGCACCCTTCTCTGCCAAGCTGCCTGCAGTTCTGCCATGGTTTTGGAACTCGGACCGACTGCCCCGGGAATGCGCTGACTGAAATGTCGGCCTTGCTGTGACTGACACCTTGAGCCAAGCTGCTGGATGAGCTTATCAGGTGTATGGCGGCTATGGCGGCTATGGCGGCTATGGCGGCTATGGCGGCTATGGCATGAAGAAAGGGACAAGAGTGGAGACTATCACCCAACAACACTGAAAAATACATCCATACAAATTTCTATCAAAATTCATGCATATGCACACATACTAAAATCCCATGGTATGTGTGGGTGTGTCTCTCTCCCCGTGCCCAAACAGTTTGATAACGACCAAGGGAATGCGTGGCCCCTGGGGTCTCCACCCAAAGGTGGGATGGGTTCGCGCGACAATTGCCGCTCTTTGATGGTCGCAATGTAATCTGCGCGGTGCCATGGAAAAAATGTCTGTAGAATCTGTCGAATCTAGACCTACGGTATAAGAAGTTAATTTCCAGGTAAGAGATATAAAAAAGGGAATGAGCGCCCCATGGCGTGGTGGAAGATCAGAGTTTCATCTCGTTGCATCTTTTCCTCTTGATACCTTTCCAGCTGGCTCCCTCTCCCTCTCATCATCTGCAGGTTTCATCCCCCGGCCATCTTCGTCTCTTCGTTCATGAGGGACGCCCGCCTGCGTAACCCGGTGCGGTCGGTGTACATGAAGTCGTGATCAAGCGAGGAACAGCAAGAGTCTCATATGCTTCCCCGCCTTCCTATCCAATCCGCAAAGTCAATTCTGACAAATGACATTTCACTTGGAGCCGAATCAAAGGATTCAAACAAACTATGAAACCAAGGACAAACAAACAACGTTTGGAGACCTCTGGTGGGGTTCACAACATCTTCCCCAACGGAATTGAGCCCACCTCCAACTGCTCTTGCTCGTGCTTTGATGCTGCCAAATCCACAAGCCTGAGGCTGCCATGCTTCCGCTCAGCAAAGAAGATCAATCCTCGTATACATATATAATTATATATATGTGTGTGTGTGTGTTAATTTATATTTAAAAGTAGTAGCTATAATATATTCATACCTACGAAGTAATCTATGTATGAATAAATAAATAAATAAACAAACACATGCGTGTGTATTTATGTATTTATTTATATGTTTATATATGTTCATATATAAATATTGATACTTATATATTTATACATGTATATATTTATATATTTATGTGTTTATGTTTATATATTTATGTGTTTATATATCTATATATTCATATATTCATGTATATGTATAATATTTATATATATATATATATATTTATTTATTTATTTATCTATATATTTAGATGCTTAAAATTTAATATGTTTATGATTTTTATACTCATATGTATATATATATATTTATCTATTTATTGATATTTATATATATATATATATATTTGTATTTACGTTTATATATTTAAATAGCTATATATTCATATATTTATATGTTCAATTCAGATATTCATGTATTTTTCTGTGTTTTATATATGTGTGTGTGTGTGCGTTAATATTTATATCATTTCATATCTATATTTATTTATATTCATAATTTATATCCATAGTTTCAAGCCCATGGCCGATCAGCTGAGTCCTCCGAACTCGCGGCTCTCATCTTCCAACTTCCAACTCACGGCAGCGCGTCTGCAACCTGTGGGCCAAGCAAGGTCCGGCAGGTCAGCGGAGAGGCAGGGGGGAAAATTAGAAATCATCACTATGTGGGTACTCTCTGGTAAACATACAAAAAGCTATTGAAAATGGTGATTTATAGTGGATTTTCCCATTAAAAATGGTGATTTTCCATAGTTATATTAAATTACCAGTGGGTAAGGCAATAATAAACCATCCCCCAAATAAATCACCATGATTTTAGGTGGTTTATTTTTTTTTACCCACATGAATCACAATGATTGCAATCAACAGAAAAGATACCAATTTCAATAACCAGCCAGTGCAGGGTCAGCATCCATTGGTTTCTCCGCACCAGTGCTGGGATCCCTGGGAGCCCGGACAAGTCCACCAGTTCTTCCAGCGACGACACTGTCCTACAAAGCAAAAAGCTTCCAGACTGTGCCAGACTCACAGTGGAGGAAGCAGAAATCCTACAAGGAAATTATGAAGTTGAATCCGCGGCAAAGCAAGGTGGCAAAGTGAAAGACAACCCAAAAGGAAGACTCTGGAAGGCGGCAAGTTGGTTCGAATGATCAGGCTGTCAAATCCTCCAAAACTTGCTGTCGTGTGGCCACCGAATGGATTAACTTCATTCAACTTCAGCGCAATGGTTTTGGACCACGTGAGCCACATTTTCAACATGTTCAACATTCCCAAAATAGCCCATGAAAAACCCACCCAGAAAGCCTGTTGTGTATTGGATCCATTCATCTCGGATTTTCCATGATTTTCCCCAGGCTTTTTGGCCACAAAGTCATGGCCATGGCCATGGCCATGGCAGTCCTTTGCCTCTCTTGCAACTCCCAGCGCAGGCTGGCGAGCTCCTCCACCACTTTCGGACTCAACGGGGAGATGGGCTCCTTCTGCCTGGCGTAAGAAGACGACTTGTTTATTAAAGTTGAGTGACTTTGGTGGAAATAAATCTTACTGTACATTGTCTTAGTTGAGTTTATTTGGAAAATGACTGTGATCTTGGAGCTGGCTGACCGTAGCCTGGGGCCATCTCGGAAATTTGGAAATTTGGAACCATCCTAGTGTGGATGTGGATGGGCCAGCGAAATCCTGCACCAAAAGGATGGTTGAAACCCTATGAATAATGGGATGAACCACCTATCAACTGCCGCAGGATTTCATCCATCCACTGTATCATTGATCAACTCCGGACTCCTACCCCACCTTTCGGAGGACGCTGTTTTTCCATCCTCTTGGCTAATGTCATCCTGGCGAAGGTGCCACTGGCTGTTAAAAAGCAGATGCTGCAGTAATGGATAAACGACCAAACAAAAGAATCGACAAGAAAATCAAGCTAGTACTTTTTTCAATACATTAGCGCAAGTGTATGTACTTGTTTATTTACACATTCATCACACGTGTGTGTCAAAAAAATATGCAATTATGTGATATTATAGATAGACAGCACTGTACCAGATACAGAGTAGATTTGATTAGATAGATATTCCATGATTAATATATTCCGATATTCCCCATCTACCCCCCCAAAAAAAAAAAAACGAACATATTTGTAGATCAAAGACGGCCAGATCCCAGGCCTCACTGGGTGGTGCCAAACATCTGAGAACTTCAGGAGGCGGTGGGCCTGTGAGATTCACCGCCTGCAGCGATGGCAGCTATGGCAGCTATGGCACATTTGTGAAGTTAATATGGGAAAATGCATGTATGCACGTGATGTGTACATATTTATATATCATATATGAATAATTATTGTATATATGAATATGAATATATATGTCCGTGTGTGTGTGTGCATGCATATGGTATATAAATTGTGCGTGTGTGCTATGATTATACAATCAAATCAAATATGAACCTGATTGTCAATTTTATCTGATTCTTATGTTGCTTCACTTTCTCTTGTGAAAGTCCTTAAAAAGTGTGCAGTAAGAGAACTGATCCACCCAACAAACATTTTCCTATTACTGTGTTGAGAATTGCATCCAACCACGTAGCTGAAGAACTACCCTCGGAACTACTTATGATGTACGCAACCTGTCCATAGAACCCAGGCTTGGAACCATCAAATCGTGCAGCCTTTTCTTCCAATTCTCTTCCAGTTCTCCAGTTGGATGCAGTCTTCCAGCAGGGGGTGACAGCCCAAATCAGCACCCTGCCGCCGCCGGTCGCCATTCAGAGCGAGCTAAACAAGCAAAAGAAAAACGGGTCGTCTTTGCCTGGTTCAAGGTGAAAAAACCTGTGGGTCCAGCCAGCCACCAGGTTGCCCAGCACGTTCTCCAAGCTTTTTGTCGCTGTTCCGGAATCCCGCCATGCCATGCTGCACCTAGGAGAGCCACTGCGAAAGGGTCACGAAGAACAGGCCCTCCTCAGACAGTGAGGCCACTGAGGTTGGAGATGGCTATCTCAGGCTAGCCCTAACATGCAAAACCCTTCAAAACCAAAGGGGTTCAACAAGCAAAACTAGAATACAGATTCCCACTTTCCACATCTTTCCACATCTTTCCACATCTTTCCACATCTTTCCACATCTTTCCACCTTCCACTCCTTGATGAGACGCTCCCGCACCATCTTTTCCGTCACAGCCAGGCGCAGGACTTCCTTTGCCTTTGACAGGAACTTGGGATGCAGCAACACCGGGCCCCGCTCATGCATTAATTGGCGCTTGCGCGGGTCCCCTTTGTTGTTCATAAGCACTGCACAAAGCAGACCCATCTGCAGCAGACCAATGTAGGCCCATCGGTGCATATCAAACAGGAAGTCCTGCGCTGGCAAGTTCGAAACATGTTTCCGTGACTCGGTGACCCTTCGCCATGGATTTGTTCCAAAAATTGGAGCATGTGCTGACAATTGCCAAGTGGTTGGGTGCAAACCCTCATCCCCGTCCTCCAGTGCTTGTTCTGAAGCATCCAAAGCCATACCCAACAAATATCCTTCAGCAAAGCACCGTTGCGCCTCCACACTTGCCACTGCATCAGGGCTGAAGCCGCAACGAAACCTGACAGGCAGCTGGTCTCAGAGATCAAACCCAAAACTTTGTTGGTGTCACGCCCACACGCTGTTGATGTGGGTCTTCCATTTCTTGACTTCGTATGTTCCCCAGTGGTGCAAGGTCCTGAACAAAATAATGACGAGCTGCAGCATCAGGACCAGGTATGCCAAATCCTCAGCCCGATGGGTTGGGGCCCTTGGGGGCCCTGCGCTCCACTAGAAAACATCCACTGCAACAAGGATTGGTCGGTGATGATATCCCACCAATTGATTTTTATAACTTGGGGCACCAACGCGCCCACCGTGTCTTACTGAAATGCGTCAGCATTGTTTGCCACATCAATCAGAATGACCTGCAAAGGAATATGACATCAGTGTTGTGGTGCAGCACCTCTGCAGACACATTCCGAGTTCTGAAAGACCTTAAGATCCTATCATCAAGCTAGCACCCTACCAAAAACACCCACTGGCATCACCATTTTCGTGTCAGGACGAAGGCCAAGCGTCAGCACCCGCGGGACCCACTGCTGTCATGTCAAAGTCAATCAATCTCAGCTGGCCCCTGTGCCACATGATGTTGCCCAAATGAGCATCGCCATGGACGCACACCTCATGGCATGCTGAGCCTATGGGTTTCCTATGGTTTCCTTCCTCTATAGTGACAATGCATTTCAGAAGAAATTCCATGAAATTCCTAGGTTTCACCAGCCACATACTGTAAGCATTGGTTATCTAATTGGAAATATTTGGACGCCAAGGATCTGTTGAAGTGGTCACGCCCTTGCGAGGAAGTGCATCATTCGACGGTAGAGCACGAATCTCCTCCGCCACGAAATGCCAGTCGATGCCTCCAGTACTGTGGGATTCTCTCCCAATGCCATTGGCACCATCCCATGAACAAACCGTAGATAAAAGGGGTTCATTTACATCATCCCACTCATACGGGCATACCGTATTACCCATTTTAATAAAGCTCTATTTTGGGGGTGGGATTGTTTATTATGTGGTTTGCCACATTTTTCCTTTCCCCCCAAATGTTAAATACCAATTAGAAACCCTCGTTTACCGTAGTATCTTTTCATTTTGAGGGCCGCATATGGAGGGCATTCCGGCATTCCATACTAGGGGGATGGAATTGCTTCATTGCAGTATGTCCTAGGTTTGACTGAATTCTAGGTATCTCAGTGTATTTCTGGGTAAGGCTGTGGGCTGCCACTGGCCCGGCGCAATGCCTTCGGCGGCAAGCTGCTCAGCATTCTTCTCCGGCACCAGGCCTGTGTTCTTTCAGGGAACTCGTGTCGGAGAATGGGATATCCCAATGCACCCCCATCTTTGACCAATTCGATTATCAAGGAATACCTGGTATCTTTCAAACAATTTAATTATTGGTTTTTCCATTGCCACATTCCTGATCCCAAGGCGTGAAGTGCTGCTAAATCATGAGGAACGTACTATACATACGTCCCATTTGTCAGAGCATGGTTTTTTGTTCACGTTCCAAGCAAGTTTTTTCCTTGGTCCTCAATTTTATGTCCCATTTATATCACTACCACTAAAATCAATGCATGGGCACCAGCTCCAAATTCTCGTGGGCTCCCTTTTCTCAAACATAAAACAGTTCAAAAAAAAGGCACCCCATGAATCCAGGCCCAGGCCCCAGGGCTGCCACCAGGTTGCGCTGCAACCGTGGGAGCAGCCACAAGCAGCCAGCCCAGTCGCACTCAGCTGCCGTCAGCAACTGTGACTCCATCAGCTGCTGCCGGATAGGATTGAACCACCCAACATCGCTCCGGTGGAGCCTGGCATAGAGCCGTCCTGAGCTGGTGGCTCCGGCACCTGCACCCCAGTTAAAAAAAAAATCGCCTGGGGAATTTGCCTCGTGTCAGCCTCCCCACAAATCAAAAAACAAGGAAACAACCATAAGAAAAATTACTTTACTTCGAGTGATCCCCACCCTGACAATTATTCTGATCAAATCTAGGGACCCTCACCTGGCAGGTGGGGAATAACAAGGTTCCAACATCCTGAAGAGTCGTGGATGTGAGATCATCAACGCTCAGAGTGCCACCTTCCAAAAATTCATCCACCAAGACGATCATCTCGCCTGACCGATGTGTTGCCACATGCCTGGGACCCAACTGATCTACGGCGCCCAGCGCTTCCTGATGTTCGCCAAACGCATCATGGGGTGGGTTTGGGGTCTAATTTAGTTCCTGGGAAGAGTTTGGATGGCGTAGAAACCAATGACATCAGCTCGGTTGGGTCGTCACTTTCATGCTGATGCAATGCATTTTCGAGTTCATGTCGAATCCGGCCCAATTTAGGTTTGATGTCATTTCAAGCCTTACATGAATCATTTTGCTATTTTCAGCATTTCAAATCATCGCCATTGCCCAACACCAAACATAGTCACCCAAACAAAAATACTAGTGATTTACCACTACTCTGGTATAAGATTTGCTTATCCTTTTGCAAAATCGCTACTATTTGCTAGAAATCATGAAGAATTGTTGTAAGTTGCAATAGGTTGCCATAAACATTAGCTACGTTGCTATTAATTTAACTACTTATAATTGCCCCGTCACGTCCTGTTTTGCCGCTTGCGAGTGTCGGACGCCAAGATCTTACTCTCGAGATCCAAACCCCGCCAGGATGGAATGCCTCGGCACCATTTGATACATTTGCGCACAATGCATACACAAACAAGTAAATATCTATATATGTATACAGTATATATATGTGTGTGTGTGTGTTATGTAAATATTGGTGTCATATATACATGTACGTATATGTATGTGTGATAAATGCATATGTACATGTATATGTATATGTATTTATATAGTTATTGTGAATTGGCAACGGTATCGTGCAGTCCAACGCGGCTCTTTTTGCTAGTGGCGATAGCGATGTAGCTCAAGGGCCCTGATAGCCGAAATGGCAGCAGACACTACATGTGACAACCTGGCCTTTACATGGAGTATCACATACCACAAATTGACACCCAACCTGTTCTTCAGGTGTCACATAGAAATATATACAGCTATGTCTGTACAGGGCATTGCGGAGAAAGAACGCAGCGGTGTTGTTACTGCTTCTGTACTTTATACATGCACTCTGCCAACACTCGAATTATGAAATCTGGTTTCATACTCTTTGTAAGGCAGTCGCTGATCATGGTGTGTGTTGCTATCCATGACAGCCTGTCTCCTCCATTCGGATAGATGTCCCATGTTTTTCGGTCATCATTCCAGTAGGATTCGTGGATACTTTGTAATTCGATGCCAAGCCTTTTGTCGCTCACCTTCGCCAGGATCTCGGAAGCCAAGTGGTCTGACAATGAGCGGCAATCTGTGAGGGCTAAGTGCGGTACGCAGCTCCTTGCATCAGTCTCCCATGTCCGCATGGATTTGATCTGGCCTTTGAGTTCTGCCAAGACACCTCTGAGCTTGTCCCCTGCTTCGAGACCATGCTGCAGTGAATACGTCTCAGCCTGGAGCGTGCTTCGACACACACGTCGGATCGTGGTAGAACTGTAAGACAGAGGCATTACTCTGTACGTGTTGCAGCTACCGCTCTTGATCTCTGTGAGGTCTCCAAGAAAGTGACAACATCCCTGTTCGGAACGGTAGTTCTGTTCATTGGAGAACGAAGCATCAGTAATTGTGATCAGACCTACCTCATCCCATTTGAGATGTCCGCTTGGAAAGCGAAGCCTTACCTGATCACCTTTGTGAGCAAGTTGTACGACTGCGTTTGCGTCGCACAAAGTGCTGACTGTGGCATTTTTGATTGAAGATTGTAGGCGGCTAACTCGGTACGCCAAATCTGGTCTTGTCTGGCGAGCAACCCAAGCTAGTGACCCGGTCACCGACCTAAGTCGTGTGATGTCATCACCTGAAATCTTCTCACTGCCTGGACGGCCAGCGTCAATTGGAATTGGTTTGATCTTCCTGGTGTTATCGACGGTGTCGACGAAAATGTCTCCGTCACCTGAACGCGAAAACTGCTTTCCGCAATACCTGAACTCGTTCACCTCGGTGCTGCCGATGTTGAACTTATTCAGAAAACGCTCGATGACTTCCTTACCCTCGGGCAAGTAACAGTACAAAAGATCGTCAACATGTGTGCAAATCAACGCGCACGTATCACCATCGCTCCCTGGAAGGAAATAAAGACCTGGGAAAAACTGTGATGCTTTCATGCCTTTTTTCTTGGCATCTCCGTCCAATCGCAGCCAAAATTCACGACCTGAGTCTGTGAGTCCATAGATCGGTACCCTTACGAGGTAAACAATTCCCTCGTCAACTCCTGGGATGCCACCCCGGGGTTGTCTCATCAGGAGTACCCGGTCCAAAGGTCGTCCTTGGAAATATGCTGATGTCACATCAGCCGAATGCAAGTCGAGCTCATGTGCTGCACACCAACAGCAAATGAGGTTGTGGACCTCAATGTCAGCTGTGGGGCTGTCTGACCTCAGACCGTCACTGCATTCGAAGTTTCCGCAGGAAACTAACCTGCTTTTGTATTGTGGCTGGTAATTTGGATCTCGGCCTTTCTTGTACTGAGCTTTGTCAACATCTACCCATTTGGAGGGTATAATCTGATGTCCCTCAGCAACAAGCTCTTGCACTTGATCCGGAGTCAGTGGCACGACTGCTCCGAAGCTTTCAAACTTTGACCATTCCTGGGCTCGAGAAGCTTGCAGTGCCTTTTGAACCCCAGGTGGCGCTGATTCGAAGTGAATGCTTTTCAGGACCTTCTTGCCTTCTTCTACAATCTCATCTTTCCCTGCCATAAAACATGTAAACATGGCTGTGGACTGTTCAACTTGTTCTACGGACCATTGTGCAGCCGCATTTCGGGCTCGCTCAAAGTGGCTCCTCAGGGATGCTGGAAGGTCATTGAGACTGTCATACGGATTGGGCCATGATTGTGGCCCTGCGGCTTGTGGTGGTGTTGGCTGTGGTGCTTCAGCAGAAGGTTTGTCTGCTGAGTCAACGGATTCGCGCCTGGAAGGCATAAGCGATGACCCTCTTTCACTCTCAGGTTGGGTTTCAAGACGGGGTCTCACGTTTCTGTCGGCACGAGGGGCAACACTTGATCTCCGCCTGTCCAGACTGGAGCTGGCAGCTTAAATCAATTCATCTGTACCATTTACTTCATCTGACATGTCTTCACCATCAATGGTGATTTCCGGTACAGTTACCCCTGCATTGTCCAATTCTTCATCTTCGGGTATTGGTGGTAAATCCTCATTATTATCTCCCTAATTTATGAATGGTAGTTCAGCTCCCTCGCCTGCAGCAATTGGTTCAGGCGCCTCAAGTACGGATGGCTCATATCCGTCACTCTGGGAATCTTGGGAAATTCGAGCATCCAAAAAGGATTGCTGTTCACCTCCGATCACGACCTCATCAGGAATGACAGGCTGCCCATGGAGAACCGAATGTGCCAATGCTTCACTTGGAGTAGCTACCTTCACATTCTGACTGGCCACTAGTACTGGGACATTTCCACAAAGCAACCATAGATTTCTCTCTCCCTCATGGCCTATCACCCTACTTGTGGGACTCCATCGTGTGCCTCCCCGCTGGTTATCCCTGCGAAAGGTCACCAAGTCCCCAATTTCGAAGTCTCTCGGAAAAGGTGATGTGTTTTTGGTCATGGCTCGCTGGACACGCTTGGAGCAATCAAGGTATACAAATGCTTTCTGTGCTTCCTGCCTAGCAAGATGCTGCAAAGCAAAAATGCTTTCGGGGTTGTGCTGGGCTTCCAAGGCTCCGAGCTCTGCAAATCGCTCTTCAGACAATGGACTGGGCTCTGAGCGTGGTGCCTTACCCAACACCCATTGTGATGGTGAAAAACCTCCTACACGTGATGCATTATTCTTCACCATGAGCACCTCTTGCAGAACTGACTCAACCTGTTCTCTGCCAAGAGGTTGAGTTTCTTTTGAGACCTTTCGGAAAAGAGCTTTGGCAATGGCCCCGTGGCGTTCTACACGGCCATGGTTTTCAGGTGCCTCAAGTGGGCTGTGATAAACCTGAATGCCATGATCGTCCATGTACTTTGACCGTACACCACGGTTATGCAACCCTCGGTCACACATCAAGTTCACTGGGTGTCCACTCCATGAAAACCAACGTTTCTGCAGGGCTTTCAGACATTCACTGGATGATGGCTGTCCCTGGCCTGTTCTGACAACCTCGCACAGTTGAAATGTCGTCCCAAGATCTACCATGTTCAAAACTTGAAACTTGGAACCACCTGCATCAATGATCTCAAAAACATCAATTCCCACGCTATGGTTGAAAGAGTAGTTGTGGGGCAGTGCAGTTTTGTGTGTGGGTTTCTTTCGGGATGTTTCTTCACATGCTGTGCGCCTATGAAGTTTTACTGCATCAATGAACTCTGTTCGAACCCTGGCAGCACGAAGCAAGTGGATCATGGTCTGCCTCGGCACATGACCAAACTGACGGTGAAGTCGCCTGACAGCGATCCTCACTCTGGCTGGAAGCTTTCTCCACTGCCTGCGTCTCTCCACCTCATCTTGTGGAAGTCCTGGAATCTCGACTTCGTCAATGAGGGTTTCCTCAGAAATCAGTTCCTCAACAGGGTTCACCTGGGCTCTGTCATCGGAGTCCCAGAGGGCGTCAAGTTGTTGATGCTCTTCATGTGCTTCTTCATGCATGTCCCCCACAAACGCTATCCCCATTTGATGATTCAAATCATCTTCCTTGGCCCAACTCCCAATCCAATCTGCAAACTTCCAAGACAAGACATCGTCCATCGTCTGTCCACGAAACCAAGACTCAAACTCATGGGTCCACTGTTCGTCATTGCATGTGAATGCAAAACCATGGTCATTGATATATGGTGTTTGGGGGTGTTGATGTTTCTCCCATCGATCAGTCATGGCAACATCTATGTGCAAAAACTTGCAGCTGTCCAAGTCGCACATCAACTCCACTTCTGCCAGAAAACGACCATGTCCCAATGGATCATTTGAGTTGTTGTATCCAATGGCAATGACAATGTTTTGATACCCCTCCAACAGATTACAAAAATCTTTGGGGTCAAATTCAGGGTCAAGATGACTGGCCCCCACACCAACGTCGATCACGTCGACCAAAGGCTGGCCAGACTCCTGGACGAACACGAACGGATGGGAAGTGAACACAACTGTCTTGCTATCTCGATTGGGATTGGAAATCAAACCAAGTCCACTCTGGATCATCATGTCGTTCTTGTTCAAATTGGCAATACCGTCCAACACTGCTTTACGGTGCTTCCTACCCATGGTGACTCTCTCATTGGGTTGAATGGCAATTGGACCATGTTCATGCACTTCAACATCGGTGTCGGAGTCCAGAACAACTTCATGCATGTTGGGACCATCTGGATCTCTGGCCATGAGTCCAACTGGCAATACATCACCGGGTTCGTTTTTGATGATCACTTCATCCTTTGGGGTTTTCTCATGACAAGGCTTTTCATTGGAGGGTTCGCTTTTCACAAGTTTGGCAACAGGGCTCCCATCGGGTGAACTTGTGCTATAGTCGGTTGACTCAGTTTTCGGGGTCTGAATCTTGAGATCTCCCTTGAACATGTCATCATCTGTACAAATCATAAACCGACTAGGCTGTGGTGGAACTGGTGGATCCTTATGATGTTGCCTTTGGGGCTCCGATTTTGGGGCGGCCTTTCGACCCTTTTGGGGCTCCAACTTCATACCCTGACCACCTGACAACAAGACCACGCGCCCCGTATATGCTCGCGGGCGCACGTCTCGATGTGAGAAGATCACCAAATCGGCCCAAGTAGTCGGGAGATCGACGTTCTCTCCAACAGCCTCTTCCCGTTGAAGCCTGTTCCACGACGTGCCTGTGGAATCACGTGGTCGGTAGAAAGACGATCTCACCCAACCCTGTTGACGCATCCATCTGCCACCTGAAAGCAAAGTACTCCTCACATGGGATCTGAGCTTGATGTCCACCCTGATGCCTTGCGGCTGCTGCTCCTCATGAGGAAGGCTGGGGTCTGTAATCCAGATCACCCGATCTCTGTTTCCCCAAAATTTTGCAGAAGAGATGAGCCAAGAAAGAATGTCTTCGTCGACATTCCAGCAGTATGGGTCTCCGCTGCTGTCGTTCAAGATGTCGCGAAGTTCCCTCTCAAGTCTCTGTCGTTGAGACTCATCACATGGACGTCGCATCGGTGGCCTCGGTGGTGATGGAGGGGTCCTTGGAGAAGGTACCCTTGGAGATGGCATACGGCGTCTGCTTCGAGATCGCCGACCACGCCTGCCGCTCGAAGAGGATCTCCTTCTGGTCCTTCCACGATCAGCTCGTTCTCCTTCAAGCACCTGCCTCACAAGACCTGAAAGCTCCTGGACCTGATTAGCAAGAACCTGTACTGCTAAGTCTCGGTCTTGTCCTCCATGATCACGGCCATGGTCTCGGGCATCTCGGCCTCGTTCATAATCTCGGTCATCTCGATCTCGTCCATAATCTCGGTCATCACGATCTCCTTCGTGATGTACTCCTCCTCCACGAGATGAGTCTCCAGCACTGCGGCTTGGAGGTGGATATGCTGGAACATACCTGGGTGTCAAAGGCGTCCTTGTCGGTGTACCTTCAAGGGATGGTGGCATAGGAGCACGGACTGGAACTGGCACGGTCCTGGCTGGTGTCAACGTGGGGAAAGATCTCGTCGCCGTTGTAGTAGGCCCTGGTGCCGGTCGCCTAGCAGGCTCAGGCGGCCTAGCAACTCCTGGTGACCTATCAGGTTCATCCACAACACGCACGTCAGGAAGGTACCTGTTCATCAAGTCTCTAAGCTCTCTGGTGTCGGCTGTTGCACAAAGGCTGCAATGGCCTCCACAAGTCATCTCACGCCACTCCGGGCTGTGATAATGGATCAGCAAAGGCTCCCTCCAATCAGTTACGTCCAAGAAGTAGTAGATCAAAGTTGCCAATCCAACACTGCGATGACGACCACTGGTGCAGTACAAGTGAATCACAAGCTTCCCATTCGGGTTAGCCCTCAAGAAATTTGTCACCTGCTCAACGAGGTCATTCATTGCCTCATGATATGCAACTCCTCGGATAATGCTAGGATGTCGTCCAGTGCAACCTCGGATCGACCTGTCATTGTCAGGATCATGGAAATGCCTGCAGTCAATCTGAAGAACCTTAGCGCCAGGAAAGCTTGGCTGTCGACCAGTCCAACGAGCACCTGAAGTGACCACAAGGCATCGGGATCTGTCCAGTCCCCTCAAACAGCTGTTCAAAACATCTTCGATGTGAGCTGCGCTCGACGAGCTGTAGCCACTTGAAGACTTCAACATCTCATTGGCCGACGGCGAACCAGGCTCGTCGGATAGGGCGGCAAAGGCAGTTCGAAACTTTCTGTGGCATTTTGGGATCTGTTGTGAAGTGTGATGGGACGTTTTTCCTGTCGGATCAATTTGATTTGGGGTGATTGCTAACATCATCAAACCTGTGTGAGAACATCTGAAAACTGGCAACTGGTTACCATCAATGGACGCTGTTCCATTCTTCAAGTCCTTGACAAGTCCCAGATGGGCTTGAGCATGCAGTGACAGCAAGAGTGGTGATTTCCCGGAACTAAGTTGGTGCGTCTCAAGTACCCCATGAATGGGTGTACACTTGCTATCCATGAAATTCAGGCTGAAAGGCAATGTACGGGATCCCTCGGTCGAGGTTCCCCCAGTCCCCAATCCAGAGAAGGTTTTCCCCTTGGTGTCATTGAATGGAAACTGGTATCCCAAGTTCTTCAGCTTGACAGCTACTACTTCAGCCCAATGTTTGGAGTGACAAGTTGAGTTACACCCTTCATCCAACACGACATAGATATTGGGATCGCTCATGTCGTACATGTCACGGGTCTCTTGGAACACATGCACCAAGCCATCAGACATCTCTACATCTGGCTCGTCCCCATGAAAACACACTCCGAGACCTGCAAAATCTTCCACAGGGTTTTCCACATCACCAACCATGGTAAAACTGCTGTCTCCTTCTGCATTGGCGATGGATTGGTGGAGAAGTTCATGCAGTTTGGTCGAAGTGATGGCCTCAGATTCAGAACTGGTGGCGACTAACGTGGCAAAATCATTGAGGATCATGTCCAGCATGTCGGGGCTAAAGGTTGCATCTTTGGAATCATCAACCAGTTGTTCAATGATGGAAACTCTTTCCAGGGGTGCTTCCAAGACTTTGGTGGAGACTGCTTTTCGGGTCCTTTGGAGCTCCATCGGAGTCTCATCCAGATACGTGCAACACTGCTTACAGAAGGTTCGGTGAACAGACCTTGAAGAACCACGAAAATCCTTATCTTCATGTGGACACTGGTCATGAGGATATTGGGGGAGTAGTTCTTTCATGGTAGTAGTTGAATGGCCACAAACCAGACATGTCTCCTTGATGGTGTAACCCGTACTCCCCTGACGAGTGAATTGGGTGCAATTGGCACACTTCTCCTTTGGTGGATTCGGTGGCTTCCTCAAACGTGTGTGTTGCTTTGGAAGAGGTGGTGGTGGCTCCAAACTACTTCTGCGATACACTATGTTCCCCCGATACTCAAAGTTTTGGTTCACCCACTCGGCATACTCTGAAGCTCCTGGACTCTTGGCGTTCTTCTGTGTCCATGCAAAGTAGTCAGGATGATCATGCAAAATCTCCCAAAACGTCTTCCCCTTAAACTGGCCAAACTTGAACTTTGTGTTACTCCCAATAGGTTTTTAAGGGTCATTTCGTCCTACTGGAGTTGTGGGAGGCCCCAAACTGGGTGCCTTTGAAGACGCTCCTGCACTCTTGATGGCCATGTTTGCAACGGGCGTCTTGGGTGATGATGCACTCAAGAAAACTCCCTCATTTGATGAAGATTCCGAGAAGTCTGCAAAGTGCGCTGTTGGCTTAGGAGGATTCGATGGGGGTTTTGAATCCTTGGCACTGACATTCCCCTTAGCACCTGGGAATTTACAAATGGGGTCACCTGCCCAGTGCCCGTAGGCGCCGCAGCGAAGGCATTTCGACTTGGCCTTAATCTCGGAAAGGCGCTTTCTGCGCTGTTCGATGGACAAGTTGGACCTGATGATTTTCCCTTTTCCTTTGGGTTTACCTTTGCCCTTTCCTTTCACACGCCCGAAGGCTACGAATGCAGCTAGTTGGAGTTGGAGAGTTTCCCCAAGGCTCTTGTCATCTTCAGTTGATTCATCTCCTACATCCACTAGTGCATTCAGGGCAGTTGCTTCATATTCATCAACTTCGTCATGAAGGTCAAAGGCTTCATAGGAATTGTCAACATTTGGACTTGATTGTTCTGGGTGTTCCTCGATCCCACCAAGCAGACCTACGTATGGTGCATCCTCTTCATAGTATTCCTCTTGGTATTCATCATAGTCACCATAACCATAGCCTTCCCCATCGGGATAGGCATTGTAAGCTGTCTTGTAGGAACCTTTACCATTTTGGGGTCCTTTGGAACTTCCATATCCCTTACCGGACTTCCCATACTGTTGTGGGGTAGATGAACGTCCAACCCAAGACTTGGATCCTTCCCTCAAATGGATTCCTGAATACTGATCAACCAACACCTTAGCAACTCCTTCAAAGTCCTTGGTGGCGGCACATGCTTTTACGACCAGTACCTCTTGTCGGCTCAGACCTGACAGTTCAAGCATGAGCTCCATACGGAGTCCATCTGAAAGTGCCATGGAAGGATCAAGCTCGGTCAACACTCTCCACCATCTGCGTCTGCGTTGAGTATAGCTCAGCATGGGTTCTTGGGGTTGTCGGGACAAAACTCCACCTGCTTTCTGCCCTGCTCTGAAGAGTTCTTTGGCTTCTTCTTGAGCTCTGGGAAAAACATGGGCTTTGATTCGTTCAACCAATCGTTCAAGACCTCCCTCTTGGGACAGAGTCTCCAAACCGAGATCTCTGGCAATGAGAAAGACATCACGTCGAAGACCTTCTACAACCTTGTTGACTAAGGCACTACGATCTCGACCCGTGTCATCCCCTTTAGGGCTTCGACTGGCAGAGGCTCCGGCTTCGTCATCTGGTCGGCCTGGGCGCGGATGGGGTGAAATCCCAGCATCAGCTTCAGAGTCCGGCCCAACGGGCTCGGCACTCCTTCCGGTTGGGGAGGATTCTACATTTTTCTTTGAATCAAACAGTTTTATTCGCAAAAGGGTCCGGAATTCCCAATCATGATAGTGCGCTGCATCCCCATGGTATATGTATGATCCACTCTTGGTCTCTAGGGGCGCAGTGGATCGGTCAGAACCAAACCTAAGGCCAGCTACTGACATTTCTACGATTCCTTTGCGACGGACTGCCTATACCCAAGGTCAGCCAATTGCAAGTCTGTCCCACAGGGATCAGACAATTTCAGCGGAAAAAATTCCAAAAACAAATCCGATTCAAATTTCTACGATTTCAATCCCTGGATCTGACACGTACCCGGAGACAGGTCGTCACCTGCTCCGCTACCAATGTGAATTGGCAACGGTATCGTGCAGTCCAACGCGGCTCTTTTTGCTAGTGGCGATAGCGATGTAGCTCAAGGGCCCTGATAGCCGAAATGGCAGCAGACACTACATGTGACAACCTGGCCTTTACATGGAGTATCACATACCACAAATTGACATTATATTTATTCATTTATTTATTTATTTACATTTATATTTATTTGTATTAAACATGCATACGATTGTGTGTGTGCGTCTGGGTGTATGATAATAGATGTGTGTATTATTTACCACTAATACCTACCGGAAAGCTGATTCAACTGAATGTTTCATATGTTTCATTTGCAAGTTCTGTTTCCCGAAGCACTGGTGACCAAGAAATATATCGGCCCACAGCCAACGGTCGGTGCACATTTCAAGTTTATCAAAGGGAACCACTCGGATACCAAAATGGTCGTAGAAAAATTTATTGTAAACCATTGGACCTGAGGGGCCCAAATTTTGAAACACACCTGGGTTCGCCTCAAGCTGTTCCAAGGCACTTGCGACCACTTTCGACGTTTCATTTCGTACAATGAAAATCTGGTGCCACTCTGTCTCGTTACAACTTGTAGCCTGCCGGTTTTCTAGGCCACAAAACGAGCACATTCATATCAACTAGTGCGGTGGACCTAATGATAAACCGTTTTTAGGAGAGTACCTTCCATTTCTCGTAGATTTTGGGAAGGTTCACTCTTGGGTTTATAAAATTGAGATTAAAACTTATGAAAGTTCAAGATAGGTGTGAAATAGTAAGGTTAAATCAGGTACGTTCAAACCAGGGTACGAAAGGTACGGTGGTACGGTGTGGGGTACGGTCTGAGGGTACGGTGTGGGGTACGGTCTGAGGGTACATGGTACGGTTTTGAAGGTGGAGTGGTAATTACGGTGTTACAGTTGAATGGTGCTGTGTTGCATCTTCATGGTGCAATATTATTATTGTTGTAAACGTAAATAGTGACAAATGTGCATGCTATGGGCTGATATGGGATCATATGGTATATGATGCAAGGCATACATGGTATGGTTGCATAGTAGATGGATGAGTGGTTGGATATCTCATACTGCGGTAATAGTGTGTCACACCATAGTTGCTTTCAGTTGGCTGTGTTGGGTTGTTTGATCAAATAAATAGGTGTCTAATCATATACATCACAAACTATCCCAAACACAAGGAAAAAACAAACATACCGATCACTGATAACTACAGAACATAAATTTGGATGGATATTGTCCTGCCATGCTCAAGCAGTGGTTGTATACTGTTTTACATTGTGGTGGGATGTGTTCCAGCACTGCATTGCAACGTAGATGAGATACGTCGTGTTGCTCTGTGATCACGGCTATGAAGTGCCGCAATACTGATGTCTAAAACAATTCATGAAACCTCCCCTGCCGCAAAAAAAGGAATTAGACTTATGGCCCCTATATTGATCCACGTGGTACAACTGTTGCGTCGGCTTGTTGATTTGTTTTTCCCCATGCATGCACATACACGAAAGTCAGCAAGCGTTTTTTGGATCTTTTTAGCAGGTTTGCTTTTTTTCACGTTCACTACATATGCTTCTTGTAGCCAGCCCATTCGGCGAAATCACTTCTGTTGTTTCAGAATCCCATGGTTTCCTAGTTTTGCTCTATTGAGGACCAACTTCATGTACATGTAGTTGTAGTACCGAGGCCTTTTGCTAGGGGCACTTTGCTAACTGTTTGATTTTATCTCAAGGGTTGACCAAGTAGCCAAAAAAATGCTACATGGAATAGAATTAAAGGGGTCAAGCCTCCAACCAATCAATGAGACAGTTTGCTTTGTTTCTGAAGAGTTTTTGTTTCTTCGGGTTATTTTTTGCCTTCTGACTTCGGGCCGGTCCCTTTGGTATTGTTTGGGCATTATTAGAATTATTGATTTCCATCATGTTGAGCTGGTGTGTGGGCAGTGCACGCCCTATTGTTTTTGAAACTACATCCAAAATCTCAACGGTAGAGAAATCCATGAGCCCTGAGAACAAGGCGTTTGGGCAAACCGGCTGCTTTGGTGCTGTCGTTTTTCGGCGGTATATCAAAAAATATGCACATGCCAGCATGCAATCAAACTGAAATCAAGGAAAACATGAACGCATCAAGGTTTGATCAGTGTTGATGCACATTGTTGTCTTGTATTGTTTGTTTTATTTTTTTGCTGTGCTATTTTCAACTGGGGAGGCCTCTAATTGTTGCGACTTGCCTTGTCTCAAACGAGACTGTTTCAACACTATCTATTTTGTCCATTCCGCTGTTGTGACGTGCCAAACTTATGTTGCCATCGTTCGTGATCTGCGCTTGTCCAGTTTATTGAAACAATATTTTGCAGCGTGTTCGTTGCCAACCTTCCCAATGTGTAACATGTGTGAGGCAGCTGGCAATAGATTTTTGGGATCGAAACCTGCTACACATTCTTAGCAAATATAGAAAAATAAACAAATTACGTGATCAAATAAAGCATAGATCACGAAATCAGAAATCAAGAAACATAAGAAACAAATAAAAAACAACCAGGACAAGATCTAGCAGTACACTGCAGCATTTTTTAAATAAGTCTCCCATTTGCCCTGGTTGCACATCAAAAGTAAGATATGTATTATAAGCAAGCACGCTGTGTGCCTCAAAAACTTTTTACAGTGACTCTCACTTTGAGAAAACCATGCCAAACTAATCATTTTATGAAATCAAGTTGGCATAACCCAAACTGCGTTTTTTTTTTGCAATATTGAGCTATAGGGTGCACACAAGGAAGAAAAAAAGACATTCTGAGGGCCCTGGGCCGATCTACTTCGCCGGACTTGTTCATGGATCTTCACAATAAAAAATCCGTCGGTGCAAGGATAGTTGGTTGAAGTTCAGGGTCTTTGGTTTGGATACGGTGCCACTACATAGTATAGCCTGCAGTTTACAGCTAATCACATGCAACAAGATGTAGCAAGTAGCAAGGATCTTTCAAGCCATGGTATCAAACAACACCCTGGGATAGGCAATATTTGTCTTTCCTATTTGATAGCCCCGGCTCTGAATAGAGGGTTGTAGCTTGTAACTTGTTGTCCAATGTTCACGCACGAAAGCAAGCAACATCTCCAACTTAGCCACCGGCAAGCCACTGTACCACCGTACCACCATGCCACTGTACCACCATACGCTCGGACCGTACCACCGTACCCTTGGACCGTACCACCCTACCCTCGAACCGTACCACCGTACCGTACCTCATTAGCGTCGTGCCGTTCTGAGTGTACCAGCGTACCACCGTACCGTACCACCGTACCCTCGTACCGTACCACCGTACTGTACCTCATTAGCGTCGTGTAAGGCCGTGCCGTTTTGAGTGTACCAGCGTACCACCGTACCGTACCACCGTACCCTCGTACCGTACCACCGTACCGTACCTCATTAGCGTCGTGTAGGGTCGTGCCGTTTTGAGTGTACCTATTCATTCTAAGCTTAGGTACACTCAAAACGGCACGACCCTACACGACGCTAATGAGGTACGGTACGGTGGTACGGTACGAGGGTACGGTGGTACGGTACGGTGGTACGGTCCAAGGGTACGGTGGTCCGGTCCGAGTTTGCGGTGGTAAGGTGGAATGGTGGTACGGTGGTTCGGTTTTATGGTGGTACGGTTTTATGGTGCAATGGTATACATGATGCTACAATAATATGGTACGACATACGATGGAATGGCAGAGTGATGATGCAGTATAAGATGTACACAATATATAGCACGGCACGGAATCACAAGAACATTGAGCAAAATAATAACTGAATCAAACTTTAACCTTATATTTGTTGGGGGATTTAGGGCCAAATTTAGGGGGTGTGGAACCAAACTCACTGCGCAAATGGATGCAAATGGTGGGCACAACTGCAATTTCACTGGTCCCTGTGGATCCATGCAGAGGATAAGAGTGTCACTTGGGCACTGCCAGGGGTCTAATCCATGAGCGTTTGCTCAAGGAATTCTAGGATGTGAGAAGGTCCTTATGGGCGAAGTGTGCCGTGATTGATGGATTCTGACTAATTTTCTGAGATAATGGTCCCATGTAAAATATGCTCCCATATGCTTCCAAAATCTTTGAAGCATCTATCGGACCCACCCCCCTGAGAACGCGGGGCCGCCACCCACACCCAAACATTTTCTTGCAGAGTCTTGTCGGGGCAAAGCTAGAGTTGTTGACTCACATGCTTGGTGTTGGTGTCTAATATTTGAAAATATTTGTTGTAACGACCACTCAACCCAAAGCATGCATCATGGGGGTACACCGAGCATGCCTCTGTGAAAATGTGCGTCTTGTATCGTAGCGTCTTGTGTTTAAACCTTCGTTTGCTTTCTTGCTGATTACATGTCCTTTGGCTGCTCGATGGATGCTGTCAGCCAGTAATCCGATTCAGATGAACATGTTTCCTTTTAAGGTTGGCAATGAAAATTTTGGTGATGAGTGCTGTCTCCTCGCTACTCGGGGAAGATTGTGGACGTGATTTGCCACCCTCAAAGGAACTAGGATATTTTGAAACCATCCCCTGACATCACCGGTACCACCACCTCAGCAATACAGTCTCTACACATGGTGCAATTACAAAACATCAGAGTTGGTGGTTGCCCTGAAACTCACCCCTAAAACTATTTGCACATGCAATGCAACAGGTTGATTTTTACCTTTCTTTTCTTTGCTCACTCGATATCACTTGATATCAAATGTTGATGGTGTTGTTGAGACAAAACAAGCCAAGTGTCCTTCAAATCGTTTACATGGGTTTTTGAAAATGTTAAACGTCCAAATAATTTCAATATTCTTACGTTTGTCAGTTTGTCCTCAAGCCACGCCCGGTGGCCCGGGCAAAACACAACTTGACACAAATCTCACCATGACCAAGCTCTCGACTACATGCGTTTAATCCACAGTGTGAAGCAATAAAACTGATTCGAATGGTTAATGGTACATCAAACGAAAACTCAAACATAATTTGGCAAAAACAAATTTCTAGTAGGCTGCTGGAAAATCTGATCCGGACAATGTAGCGAAATTCGCTAGCATAATTCAGAACCAAAAACGTCTGAACACATATTTTCATGGTTGTTGATCAAAATTCCTGTATCCCGGAACGGCCATTCTTCGCGAATAAAAATTTTACCTTCGCGAAACTTTCGCGAACTCCATGTTTATCTTTCGCGGGGCCCATGTTGGCCAACAACACCTCTTATGAAGATTCGTTCACCACCTGCCAAATTACGCCAGAGAATCACGGATCACTTCTTGGTAGGCTTTTAAACATGCAGCTAGCATCACGCAATCCCTTCTCAGGACAGATTTTTTTTTGCAAAGTTTACTGGCCCACCCCCTTCAACATGCACTTTGACTTTCGCCCGCTCTTTCGCATAACTTTCGCGGAACTTTCGCGAAAATATCCCTATTCACAGACCCCGGCCATCAGCAGGGGGTGCATTGAAGGAAAAGCGAAGACCAGGGGCCTGGGTGATTGGCTCTCGCAAAGCCTCACTTTTGGAAACTTGGCTACTGCTACTCGCATTCTCTGGTGCCCTTTTCCTGCCGGACCCCGGGCGGCAGTGGGTGGCAGCCCTTTACATATAATGATTATAATACCCAACTTTCGCGAAACTTTCGCGAAATAAAATTTTACTTTCGCGAATTCGAAAAAAAAACTTTCGCGAGGGTTTCCGACATAACATGCACGGCTTTCGCAATTAAAACTGCTTACAAGGACCTTTAGATCGATCACCTCATGTATGTTCAATCAAACTGCCCCTGCAACCACTGCAACGGGAAGCAGTCGACATGGTAAAAAAAATGTAAAGAACATAAGATATCCAAAAATATTTGTATCAGCTGTTCGTACAGTTGTGTGCCGGTGTTCTGCCAAAAAATATATCACCCACCATCTTTTCTGAATGAAAATTAACAGGTTTGAAAATTCTCATCATCCTTGGAGTCAACAACCCATATATAATAGCCAACAACCACACCACTCAGGATTTATCGGTTTGATCCCAAAATCGATTGTCATCAACGGTGTCACCCTTGACAAACAAAATCACATCATCTTGAATGCATCAAGCTAATACACATAATTACAGTACAAACCAAGAACTGGAACATTCATAACAACAGTTCCCTTCAATTTGCCTTGGTTTCCGTCCTTTGCCGCTGAGTACCAACAATATTACATTATTGCAACAAAAAACAATCAACATACAGCATGCTGTACATCATCAAGGTCATATACCAAACTAAATCCCATATATACCCTAAAAAACACAATCATCACTCTAAACAATGATATAAGGTATCAAATGAGAATAGCATATAGACGCGCAGTACAGATAGATGAAAAACATTAAACATCACGTAACTTCAAGTGGCCTCCGAACCCACTATCAGTCATCAAATAGGTGATAAATATCTTTAGCTTATCAAATGTCCTTTCTCACCAGGACATTATTTATATATATATTATATATATATATTATCGCACTACACCATCGCACCATCACCTCCTACTACCGTACCATCGCACCTCCCATGCTACCATCGCACCTGCCACTGTATCATTCCACCGCACCTGCAACCGTACCATCGCACCACACCATCGCACCTCACATCCTATCATCGCACCTTCCATCGTACCATCGCACCGTACCATCGTACCATCGCACCGTACCATCGCACCTCACATCGTACCATCGTACCATCGCACCGTACCATCGCACCGTACCATCGCACCTCGCATCGTACCATCGCACCGTACCATCGCACCACCGCACCCAACCATCGTACGTACCCAACATCCATCATACATCCCAAAACGCATTTACACCTATCTTAAACTTTGATAAATTAAAACTGATGTATTCACAACAACCCGACTTTTTGCCCAGTCGAACCTCCAATGCACCCCCGCCAGACCAACACGGCAACCCTTTCAGCAAATGTGCCACTTCATCACGATGTAACCGCGCGACGCCAACATCTGTCATGACTGGATGGGCTGAAAAACCACAGCGGCTACGGTACAGGCTTGGCAAGAACGCCAACATTGTAACGCCAACCTGGGGTGATTCATCTTGAAAAAATTAATCAGTTAGTGTCTGAGTTCAATGATAGTTGATGTTTAAAGACTGTGGCCGCGTGGAGTTGTTTGAATTGTCAATGATCCCCACTCAGTAAGTCGCCAACACATGTGCACAACATCGTCCCAACACACCACAACCCTGCAACATTGGCCATGTGACAAGAATTTCCATTGATTGTTCCGAAAAGTATTCAAATTGAATCAATTTTCAACTTGACAAACCATGGGGATTGAACCGGTAAGGTTGAGGTTTCAAATTTAGCAACACCCAGAAGCACACCTCTCGAACTTTCCGAAGCCATCCCAGCCTTGGCAAAATGTCTGTTCGTTGTCATTCGTTTTTTTTTCGTGCGCGGTGAAGGGTGACTCATTGCAAGATTCCACCCAGCCCTGTAAATATCATGATATTATAGTTGGATATAAGCAGCATGCATGTGGTAGGTCATATATATTCAGTGTAAATACATATCCATATACATTATATAGGTAGGTATTTTAAATTTTTAGCGACGGATATAATATACAGATATACACACAAAATTTTTCTTAAAAAAACATGGACCGTTTGTTCATTCCAACCATTAACGGCAGTGCGTTGCAAACGCCGCCCACACTAGCTAAGGATGGAGCTGTCTGGATGCCACATCGTTGTCCTACTAAGTGCAATACACCAGTCACGAGATTGTACCAGGAAGGATACAAAGAAAATGATGATGGTTCAATTAACGCACTAATTGGATACATGATGAACAAACCAATGTTTCGCATGTTTATAAGCTGCACCGACAAACGTAGAATACCGTGTCATTTTTCACCAGCAGGTACAGTTCCGCAGTTTTCACAATGCAAGCGGAAAAATGTCATCGCGCATCCTCTGAAGTTGCCATGTTTCACACAAACTGGAAATCATCGCGGCTGCAAAAAACCAGTTCGCTGCTGAAACCACAACTGACATGCAAATATTTGATTGTAATGCAAGTTGTTACCATAATGGAGACAAAATTGTATACCATTGTTCTTCCAATTATTATGATCCAACTGCCTTCGAGTCGTGCATAGGTTTGACATTCACATGATGTGATTGCGAAAAATCATGTCATTGTTCTTGGCTGCTTTGAGCATCACGTTGAACCACGTTCACATATCAATGTGCACCACACGGCTTTTGCCTGCGGCCACACAGACGAAACACAAATTTCGTAATCGAGTTCAAACCCTAACCTCCGCACCAAATGAGCGGTATACAGCACACAAACATTCAAAGAAAAAAACCCTTTCCTAACAAACAACAAAACAAAACACAAACAAAACACAAACAAAACACACAAAAACAAACAAACAAGCAAACAAACAAATAAACAAACAACCAAACACAAGCACCAAAAACACCACAAACAACACAAACAACACAAACCAAGACCTAAACAACTACAACAACTACAAGAAAACAAGCACAACAACCACAACCGCATCGAACGCTGCCTTGGCGAAATTCCAAGTTCCAACGCAACACCTTCAATTTTTCATTCAGCTCCACTGCAACCACGTGACGCCGTGAATGCCCCACATCAACCGTCCATGTGATGAAAACGGTAGGGACACGCTGACACAGGAAGGTTGGCGGGATGGAAGGTGAGGAAATGGAGAAACCCCTCATCAATAGAAAACATTACCCAAAAAAAACGTTTTCATGAGCAGGAATTTCTAGCAATTTACCGTCCTTGATCGTCGCAAACGATCGGAATCATTTCCCGGCAATCATTTGCTATTAAATCACCCGCCGTGCATTTCTCAGTGGTGGGAGACGCACCATGAAGCAATCATAACCTGACGGGAAGTGTCTTGTTGCAAATTTGCACCACTCGTGTGTCTAAGTGGGACGAAACCGAAGAATCATTAGGCGCGCGTTTGTTTAGCGTTCAAAATCAAATTTATCGTTGCGAGGTATCAGGAAATCATGAAATGTCGGTATAAAAAGTCCGCGTATGTGCCTGGACAATCTGTGCTGGCAACTACCTGTTGCACCAGGCGAAACGTCATAAGTTTGTCGCAAAAAAAAATGGAAATATTTACACCACCATTCCCAACAAAAAATCGTTACACATGCGCCAACATGTTTAGCTGTTCAATTTGATTTACAAACGTGTTTGCTCGACATATTCAATGACATGTTTGGAACGCAATTTTCTGACACCTGGAGTCTTGTAAAAACCCCGAGCCCTTTCAAATTGTTTTTTTCACGCGTTATCGTTTTTTCCTCTTATTGTCTTCACTCTCGCACACCCAAACGGAACGGCATGCAGCAGTCTTTTTGACACGTTGGGGACTTCCCTCGCCTTCCCCCGGATGTATTGTTCGTGCTTTGGGCACATTCTTCTAGATTCGAAACTAATCGCATGTTCAAACGCTGTTGCTCTAGCCTCTGATGGTATGATCGCCGGCTGGCCGGCATTCAAAGGTGCCGGCATTTCCCACGGCATGACAACGTTGTGAGGTGCAGAATTGTTGAAATGAATTTCATTCAATATCGCTGGGAAATTTTCTCTCTGTTGATTGGTTACGCCAGAAGCCTCACTGCATGCATGCTGGCTCGAACACTCAGAGCCAATGCCAACCAAGAGTTGGCCTCCCATTCAGTTGCCTGGGAAGAGTCAAGCACTCATCTTTCTCACTGTCAGTCAGAGAGTAGTGATCCAACTCATATTGTATGTTGCTCTGAAGGTCATGAGCGCATGATGGATTGTGGGACCCGCCTCACACCAGGTTCGGGGGCCCGTGTCCTATGGCCAAGGCGCCCACAAGTGTAGTCCATCATGCCAAGTTCTAGTTCATGTTCTGACCACTTGACGGCAAACTCAAACCTAAAGGGGGGGACATCTCCCTGAATGGAAAAAAACATTTCCCTGTAGCGAAGTTTCATGCACATCAAGGTTGGTGGCAGATTCAGGCTGCGTAAAATTCCTGTCCTCGACCAATTTGTGTCAATGCCCACAGGGCGCCACCTGTAAACACTGATGTCAAAGGTGTTAGCAAGGCCCAAACAATTCAGCGAGTAAAACACAATTTGTTGTATTTTTCAGTTCAAATAACAAAAATGGAAGTGTATCTTTGGGGCCCTAACGGAAATCCGGGAGTGCAAGTGGTGGTGCACGTGCTGGAACCAAACCAGGACTCATGCATCCAGATCTAAACAATTGCAAACATCTTGCATGCTGTCACATCGACATGGTGATGGGTTGCATTAATGGGACATCCCAAAACGTTGGCTGCCGCACAAACACTGTTCACCCCATTTTTCATGACACCCAGTCTTCGCAGGGTCACAGTTTCTGCTTGTTGCAGCGATCCAAAGAATTGCATTGAAATGTTCTGAGTTCCCTGGTCGGAAGGAACGTCTGAATAATCTCAAAGGCACAAGCTTAGATTGCGCACCACAGAGGGAAAAGTTCTGAAGGACAAAATGGAAAAACTCAAAGCCTCGGGCCCAGATTGCTCACCACGGTGGCCATCCATTGTTGGCCATTCCACTGTAGTTGGCCATTCCACGCAGGCCAATCCCCCAACAAAACGGTCTGGAATGCGAGTACCATCCCTGGGAGGAGCCGGAACCGCTTGCCGCGTGTCTTGGCATGACGACTGACGATCCCCCCCATGTTGCGAAGGTGGCTCCACGCAGCAGCGCGTGCTTCATTGAGAGCGTCCGCCTCGTTGAGGCCCATCCTCTGCAGGTGTTGCACGCCGGTTGAAGGGTGGTGTTGAGATTCACCAGCTTGCGTTGGACTTCAGGGGGCAACACGTGGCGCGTCAGCATGGGCTCGAGGCTCGAAGCGAAGGGCATCTGGATGTGGTGGCACGCTGTCAGCACTGGGAGCATCCGACACCGCCGCAACAGGCACCAGATCAATGTGTGGGGTTTCGACCATCACAGTCGGAGGTGGGTCAGCTGGATCATCGGAAGGTTCGTCATCACCATCGGCATCAGGAACAAGATCATCCTGCGCCCATACAGCCACCCCTAAGGCATGTGAGGGCATCAACCCACATGTATTTTCCGCGATGTCCCGGAAAATTTTCTTTGCATCGTTTTCCCGATCCTTCTAAACATGAATGCCAAACAATATGTACTCTGAACCATCTGCTTCAGTCATACGTTGACTGATGTGTTGTGTGCAGGCCCATATATGTTTCAATTACCACCGGCACCAGCTGCACTGTCTTCGTTTTTTTAAAGTAGGGGGTAACGTCTGTTTTGCCAGGTTGGCACGCACTTGCTCCTGGGTGGGCCAAAGTTTTTGTTTGCTTTGCTTTCGAAACAAAGTGTGAAACACTTTGCTACCATCCTTTGAGAACACGGGGGTGGCAAAATGGCGCTACAAGTTCATGAGTTCATTGATAAACGTGTTGCGATGGGAATGCCAGTTTGGATTCTGAGTTCCTAAAAAACGATAACGGAACAAATAATTTTCAGTTTATTTATATATACATATACATATTCCAATTTTCGGAAGAGTTTGGGATTTTTTTTTGACCTATTCCCGAAGTTCCGGTCGTATCTTGCGTACACCCTATTCCCACGGATTCAAACCGATCCAACACTCCGAACATAAAGCCCCAACCTTCGCCCATACCATAGGGCTAAAAATACAACCGAAACGGAAACGAATTTTAATGTGCATGTTCTGCTCTCCGATAGTACCGTTGTCGCACAACGTGGTACAAATAGACAATGGACAAAAACAGAAACACTATGGTGTCGACAAGCGCAACTACAATTTCATACAATGTTTTCGCATTTGTTTTCGTTTGCCGTTTGGCATGTAACGGTTGAATTTTTACTAGTAACATGTCAGCACAACGGTTTACTCAAACATGTTATTAACACACCCTGAATGAAACTGTTTGTATATATTTTTTGACAGATGC